GTGAGAGTATATGTCTTTAGTTATGTATGTTGTCTCTTTCCTTAAGTGTATTGCCTAAAAAGGAAATTTCTAAGGATTTGAGGGATTTGCGGAAAGAGTTTTTTTTTTTTGTTTTAATGATATTATTGGTTTTATATCCTATATATATATATATATGTATTTTAAATAGGCTTATACTTAATTTTTATTTAATTTCAAATTATATATACTGTATATATTGCATTAAGCACATGTACAGGAGTATAGATCTAGTAGCAAATAAAGAATTCAATAAGTTAAAGTTATTTTAAGGCTTATTGCTCTTTCTTTTTATAAAAGAAAACTAGTATTTTCTTGAGTATACTGATGTAATTTAAAATAAAAGAAAATAAAAAGAAAAGTAAATAATTATCTATCATACTAAATTAGTATTGGTTATGTTTTTTAATATATATAATTTTATTTTCGAATTTCTTTTTTAGAATGGTTTGGAGAAAAGTTTTCATTGAGTCTTTATGGGAATAAGATAGAAATAGTAAGAAGAACTTTATGGTTTTAAGGCTTATAAAAAGGGAGTATTCAGAAAAGCCCAGGTGATATATTGATATATATATAAGCAACTTGAGAGTCTTTCAGTATATTATCAATTAAACTTATTTCTATAAAATATGAATATACTTACCTATCTATACAACATATTTTATATTTAATTCCTTAAAAAAGGACTATACCTAGCTTTACAATTTGTATATTCTATTGGTAGCTACTGATATTAATAATTAACAAGGATTTTTTAAATTATTTGACTGGTTTATATGTCACTGTTGATATTTTTGGACTTGAGTTTTGATTGGTATAATAGTATTACTTTTTTAGTCTTCCAACTTAGAATTTTTTGAAGATAATATGAAAACTTTCTGATTTACTATATATACAAGCTTTATCATTAAGTATTTTTGATCTTTTTTTACTTTTTTTAGTTAGATTTTTTCAAGCAATATAAGTTATGATCTATAGTACTTAATATATAATTAGGAGTAGATAGCCCTGATTTTTAAAAAAATAATTAAACATCTTGGGATCTTTACTATGATTAAATAGACTCTTTCTTGTATTTAATGATGTGTTGGTAACATTTCCTATATTTATCTGTGTTATAGATATATAACTTATAATGAATCCTAGATTCTTATGAAACTAAGAAAATGTATTCAAATATATAAAGTAATCAATAGAAGTTTGTTTATATTTTTTTTACTAATATAATCCTACTAAATCAATTAGTTTATAAGAAACTTTGTGTTACTTAAAATTCAGAATCAAGCTAAGATAGATAAAATTTCTTAGAGAAAATTAAGAAAGAGCTCTGTTAGAGTCCATATAATAATTAAGAAAATGAAAAGTTGGCTCTTATACTACAAGATATTGCTATATTGTTTCTCTATATATTGGATAAGTAATGAAGTATCAATTTATTTTCTTTTTAGAACTTTCTTGTCATTGATAGGAAAGGTGTTTTCCAAACTTTTAGTCACAGAAGTTTAGTTTTTGTTTCAAGAGAAATATTGACAATATAAAGTGAAAATATGGATATCTCTTGAAATGCTTTTCAAGTTGATTTAAGAAAAGTAATAAGATTTTATTAATCAAGAATTATAGTGACTTCTTATGAACATTTTTTTTATATGTGATCAGAGAATTAGCGAAAAGAGTTGTTATATTCTATATCTATTTATATAACAAATAGAAATAATTTATAATAAATTTTAATTTTTATAATTATTAAAAAAATATATTTAAATATATGAGATGGTCAATAAAAACTTAATTATTAATATATTTTTAATATTTAATTATTGCATAAGAAACTTTATACTATTCAAAATTTAGAATCAAATTATAATAAACAAAATTTTTCAAAGAAAACTATAAAGGAATATTATTAAAACTTAAACAATAACCAAAGAATAGTAAAGTTGTCTTTAAAAAAGTCTCTTATTATATTAAAGACTTATATTATTTTTTTAATAAATAGAAAGAAAATAATAAGTCGATTCTATTTTTTTTTAGAACTTTATTATTAATAGAAAGAATAATTTTTGCTTTTATGATTATAAAAAAACAAAATTTTTATAATAAGATATAAAAAGAGATAAAAAATTATAAAAAGATTTTTGAGAAAATTATTTTTAAATTAGTTTAAGAAAAGGGATAAGATTTTATTAACCTAAAAATATAAAGACTTTTTATAAACATCTTTTTATATATGATTAAAGAATTAGTAGAAAAAGTTTTAATAAAAAAAAATATAAAATTTTTTATAAAATTTGTAATATACTTTTTAAAATAGTTTTTTTAAACTTTAAAATAGAATTTTATAATAAATTTATTAATAATAATTAAATAAACTTCAATAAATAATTTTTTAGATTCTAAAAAATATATTTTAAAAATTTTTTCATTAAATTATAATAAATTAAAATTTTTAAAAAATAAATATTATATATTATATATTTTTAAATATCCTTTTTCATTTTTTCAACTCAATTATTTTATAATTTTATTTTATTTTATTTTTTTTTTTTTTAACCCACAGTCAGGTCAGCATGGCTTGTCTTTATTGTATATATATCAGATATTTACAAATTATTTTTTGACTTTCACATACTAACTCACCTATTATCAAAAAACTATTTCTCTAGATGCAACTTAGGAAATGATATTTCACTTCTTTACTACTTGGATAAATCCTCTAGTCAATAAAATTATTGCCTACAAGTTATTACTATAGATTATTCTAAATTCTGACTATAGTTAAAAACTAAACCATTTCCTTCCATAACAAATCCAATTCTTGATGATTTCTATATACTTTGTTTTCTCTTTTCTTTCAAAAACTTCTTGTTCTGAATTTTCTGCAAGTATAGGTTCTTCTTCCTGTTTTTATATGACCTGCATAATGGATCAGTACCCATGTTTTTTGATTTGTTTATCCTTTTTAGTAATATTCTGCTTCTTTTCCTACTTTATAACTTTTTTACAGTGGCTATTCCATATATCCTTCTTGAAATTTTTTCTCATTTTATAACAAAGTTTACTGATTATGCTTTGTGTGACTGTTAGGAAAATCTTGAGTTGAACTTTGAGGTAATTCTTTAAGGAAGTAGTTTTGTTCTCTTCTATGTATCTGCAAATAGTATTGAAAAGATTTCTATCAGATTACTGAATCTTGTTCAACCATTTATTTGTCCAATTATTGATTGCAGGATAGACTTCTTCTTTGTTTTTGATTTTTTTACTGATATATCGATTGATCTTTTCCTTTGCTTTTTTCCATATATCTTCTCTGATTTCTTTAATAATTGAATATTTGAACAAGTGTTTTAAAATTTCTTCTTGAAGTCCACATACTGGATATATTGTTATAGTATAGATATCTGGTTTCCTTTTTTTCAATATCTGTAATACTGGAAGTTCATTATAGGTCAGGTTAGTTAGGAAACTTTTGTCTTTATTATCTTTGAAAGAGGTATCGAAGGTGTTGAATAAATTGAACTGATTCCAGAAGGTTAACCAGTCTATGATTTTGTCATTTTGGATTCACAATTCTTGGATCCTTTTTTGTGTTATCCAATCTTTTCCTATCTTTTTCTTGTTAAATGTCTTGATAAATTTTCTAATATTGATTTCTATCATGTGCTCTCTTCATGTGGCTATTGTTAAAACTGTCCCTAACTCTGATAGTTGGTGTCAAATTATTGGATTTTCATGTCTAACTTGTTTGGTAAGCAGATTTACTTGGTTATTGAACTTATCGATTCCATAGGCTTTGATCTTTATAATTTTCAAGGTAAGATCTTTCTTTTTAACTAAATTTTGGATTCTACTCCATAATAGTCAATTAGTAGTCTTTGTTCATCTTCTTGTTGATATCTCCACTTGTGTACTAATGGACTTCCATGTCTTAATCACAGTATTACAGTCTGAGAATATTGAGACTGTTGTATTTCGAGGAGTTGTATATATTGCAATTAGAATAACCAATATTTCTGTCCTAATTGCCAATGGCCATGTTGATACCTCTGTTGAAAATTGTTTCACAACTTTATTGTCTTTTACTAGGATCCAAGCCAAACCCATTTCAAGCTTATTATCTTTTGTCCCTTTTTTATATGATTCATCAGTGTAGAAAGTAAACTGAGTAGCTATACTTCTTTTATTATAATTTAGGACATCTATAAGTTTATTTGTTACCTTGTAGTATTTTTATAATTTTATTTAAATAGCTTGATAAAATATATAATAGTAATAATTTATTGATTATGATATATAGTATAATATAAAAGTTTTTGAACAAATATATAATTTAATAATCAATAAATAAAATAAAATATTATATTTTTTAAAATATAGAAAATAAGATTACTCAAAATTTTTTTAAAAAAATTATAACCATTTAATTTAAAAATAAAGAATTGATTTTTTTATGAAATTCAAATTTCTATTGTATACTACAAATAAAAAAATTTTATTAAAATTATTTTAATAAAATTGATTTTATAATTAATTTTTTTATAAAAATTTATCATAATAAAAATTATATTTTTTATTATTTTTATATACTGTATATAAAATTTGTTAATAAAATAATACCTATTTTTTCTTTTACTTCAAATTAATATTTTATAATTAATATAATTATAAATAGTTTAACTGTAGTGCTATTCGAATGATTGTGTTTGCAAAAAAAGTAATTGCTAGGTATTTTTTGCACGTGCGGAATAGACGTGGTACAAAAAGTTTTTTTTTATTGAATGGTTTTCCTGCTGCGCATTACTTACGGATGTTGTTTCCTCTCGTATTCCGCCGTTTTTTACACAAACGAATATCACAGGATAGCTATTCCTTTGTCAAGTTCCCGCCTTGCACTTTTGTGATGGACACCAAGGTTTCGGTTGTTGATCCAGACAGTTTCACTTTCTCCTCGGAGGATCTCGAGGATCCACAGTTCTTCACCACGGATCCTAATGCGCTTCGAATTCTCGAACACGCGTCGAAACTACTTGCCGAAGATCAGGTGATTGCAATACCCACCGAGACAGTCTATGGTCTGGCCTCGAATGCACTTCATCCTGAGGCCATCAAAAAAATATACAAAGTCAAAAATCGACCATCGGATAACCCTCTAATAGTTCATATCTCCTCCTTGAAAATGTTAAGGTCTTTATTGCCGAACAACGAAATACCCGTGATTTATGAATCCGTAATAAGAAAATTCTGGCCAGGGCCATTAACAATAATATTGCCAAAATCCGATTTGATCCCATCCGAAATAACGTGCAGTCAACCCACAGTAGCTGTCCGATTCCCTTCACACCCTGTCGCTCGAGCATTGATATCAAAGTGTGGGTTCCCATTGGCCGCACCTTCGGCCAACTTATCGGGAAAACCTTCACCCACTCTAGCATCCCACGTGCTGACAGATTTAAACAAAAAAATATCATTGATCATAGATGGCGGGCAATGCAATTTTGGAGTGGAGTCCACGGTGTTGGATGCGTTTGGGACAAGGGGTCCAGTAATATTACGTCCCGGTGGCATTACATACGAGGAATTGATTAAAATACCGGAGTTTGAGGAGCTGCGAGTGTATAACAAGGATTATATAGATGAAAAACTCGAAATGGCACCTACCACACCGGGAATGAAGTATCGCCATTATTCTCCTAACGCAAAAATGGTGTTAATAGACGCGGGTGGTGATGTTGACACGAGAAATATAATAGAGAGGGAAATGCAAGGGATGATAGATGAGGGGATGAAAAACATTGGAATCTTGGTCACCAGATCGAACAAGATGTCGGGTAGTTTACAAACGACATCACGGAATATCATTGAATACTCCTTAGGCGATCCCACGTGTCCCGAACAAATCGCCAGGGAACTATTCAAGGGATTGAGATACCTTGATGAGCGTAAGGTGGATTGCATCATCGTGGAAGGGATCTCTGAGGATAAAGAGGGATTGGCGGTTATGAATCGATTACGTAAAGCCGCATCTAGCACCCTAGTAGAATAGATGTCATTTCAGGTGCCAATTATTTAATTATTTGTACAAAATCCAATACAATATATAGCTAATAATCATACTGTATAATCAGCGGATGTCAAAGAATATAAGGGTTAATTAAGTTAAACATTAGTTAATAATGAGGTCAAATAAACAAGATAACATTTGTCCATGAAATCTGGGAAACATTTTAGGCATTTTAGGAAGATTTCATCATTTTGTAAATAAATAATCACATTTATGGAAAAATACATGCATTCAATAATCGAGGAATCGGTAAAACGGTGATGCGAGAAAAAAGATCAAGGGATTTTCCAATGTTTCGAAGCATAAAGTTCACGTGCCATCACACATAACAGACCTTCTACAAAATGATAACCGTGCAGATCCATTTGTTACGACATTTATAATCAATCTAACCAAATCTACTTTATCATATCAGTGATATCAACGCCGAACCTAAAATGAAAAACGTGTTTGCAACACGGCACACGAATTGTCCAACATAAGGTATCGCGGTTAATGCTAATACAATCTTTTTTGGTATGACAGAGGAAAAATGCGCGGAACTGGACCACTGGGTTGAATGATTTAGGGAATGATAAAAGTACCGGAATGGTCATGCCACAACATCAAAGATTTTGGGGGAGGTGTCTTTTGTTGTTGCACACGGGGACACAGATTATTTGAAATCTCTTTATTTTAGCATCCGTTTTTTTTTAGTTACATGTGAAAATCACTCCAATCACGACTCCGATAGGTATATATAACCTCTCACAACGATTTTCGGTTTTCATGCGACAGTCTCTTGTACATAGTAGTAATTTAACTATTTATCATTTTTTTTAACTAGTACCACAGTTCACCGTCAAGTAAGCCTATACAAAAAAAAAAAAAAAAATGCCAAAAACTTCAAAACGGAAGAGTGAACAACCTCACTATGATAAGGATATGTCATCTAATGATAGACGGAATTCAGAATCTCAGGCTTCCTCCGAGGAAGACTACAATATGCTCTCTACGCCGGCCCCAAGTCCTTCCGGACCTTGTGTGGGGATCGCGAACGATAGTGATAATACTACTTCGTCGTCAAAACGGTCGAAAATCAGTAGCGGTAGTACAGTTGGCGAGGAGGCATCACATAGCATTGCTTCGAAAAGCAGCAGTGAGACACAATACTCCTTTAAAATCAACCCACCTCCCACTGATAGACCTGTACGTATATACTGTGATGGAATATACGATTTGTTCCACTTCGGGCACGCGCGTTCCCTGGAACAAGCAAAGAAATCGTTTCCCAATGTCTACTTGCTTGTCGGTGGTAAATGATTCAAGTCTTGTTAATGGATTTAATGCAAAATAAAAACATCACGTCGCACGAAAGTTGTTCATTATTTTTTAAAATAAGTATGTTCCGACGAAATAACGAATCAGAAAAAAGGAAAAACGGTGATGAATGAGGAAGAAAGGGTCGAATCGGTGAGGCATTGTAGGTGGGTGGATGAGGTGATTCCTAACGCGCCTTGGGTGGTTGATCAGGAATTTTTGGATAAACATCAGGTACATTACTGTTTCGATTTATGAACTTTAATATAATTCTTTTTTATTGACGTATATCCTTTTCATTTAGATTGACTACGTCGCACACGACGATATTCCATATTCTTCGGATGACTGTGCAGACGTGTACGAGTTCGCAAAAAAGGAGGGCAAATTTCTCCCCACGCAGAGGACCGAGGGAATATCGACATCGGACATAATAACCCGTATAGTGCGAGACTACGACCAGTATGTGAGACGTAATCTCGAAAGGGGTGTCTCTCCGAAAGATTTGAATCTCGGATTTTTGAAAGAAAAAGAGTTTCATGTTAAAAAATCCATATCGGAAATTCGTTCGTCCATTCACAAGAACTGGTCGGGCACAAAAATGGAATTAAGCAACGACATAGAAAATGTTGTGGTATGCCATGCGAACAAATTTCACATCTAATATGGTTGACACTTAATAGATCGATGATGAATTATCTTCATTTCTCTTATAGGATAAAATTTTCCGCCGGCGGCCTCGCAGAACGTTGACCAACGGATCGGAAGAAGAATCAAATAGAAACGGCTCATCTGACGAGGATCATCTGGAACGATCGAGAAGCGTTTCTCCGGTGAGAAGGGTTATCGACTTTATCACGAGAGATAACAGACAAAAGCAGAAGGATCAATAGCCATGATTATTTAATTTTTCATGTATATACAGGACTCGCGCCACTCTTTAAAGGGATAGGGATTTTTCATCGTTAATTATTAGATGATTTATTATATCGTACTCGGGTTGATTCGGAAAATGCAGTTTGATAAAATCGATCGTTAACTACTATAATCTCACAATCACGGATGATGCAACTCTTTTTTTTTTTTTAAACAATGTTAATGCTTCTAATAAGTATATAAAGTTGTGCGCCAAAAAAAAAAAAAGAATGGTTTATTTGTACACTGCATGTTTGATTGTAATTTATTTATGTGCAATCATTTCAACTCATAATATGCTGTTTAACTTATCTATATATACTCTAAAAATGTTTTTGGTTATATAACACATTGTTCGGGGAATCATACGGTAAATGCATAATCGTTCTTGACCTTTTCTATAATCTTTCAATTACACGAAAAAATTTTTTCAATTACGAAACATCTGCATCATACTCACAAATTTGCCAATAATTCTTTCTTTTAAGTGGTGCTTCTTTGCTCCTCATTTATTAAATGGATAGTATTGTCTGGCACAATTCAATTGCGAAAATTATCTTATTCGTCTCCAAGGGAAGAATAAAAAAAAAAAGTCCATCGGTGTAACGATGGATGTAATTATTACGCATTCTCTCATTCACATGCGGTCGCGGTAGATCCCAAAATCTTAATTAATTTTGGCGGGTAATTAACTACGTACGTACTGTACTTCCATTGATCGTATTATTCATTCTACACTTTCAATCTAATTAAGCAAGCTATATTTATATCGATTGACGTATTGATAGCAGGTAGATGATCACACGCTGCAAATTCATCTCGAGCAAAAAAAAAAAAAATTTTTTTTCTTTTTGTTAATTCCTTTCTTTTTTTGGGTTAAAAGTAAGATTCACGAATTCGTTTATAAAAGGACGTTATATTCTCTTGTGCAATCCTTTGGAATCTATTTTTTCGCTCTCAGTTTGCACCTTTCATATCCACTTCGTAGCGTAGACACGGAAATAAGAATGGCACCGTTTGATGGTTTCTTCGTAATGATTTCCACCCTTACAGGCGGTTTCGTTGCCATAGATCAATTAAAAATGGTTTTCACACTGATCTTTACTTATCCAATAGCTTTGATCTACAAAAATTTCTTGCCCTCCAATAACCCGAGTTTAAAACATCTGTTTTCTATCCTATTCGCGATCCTGGTGTTCTTTGGAATATTCGATCTGGCCGACGCCTTTTATACAATCTTGTTCGATTCTCTCTTGACATACGGAATAATGTATAGCATTAAGGGCGTTTGGGGCCCAAGATTAGTATTCCTATATGCATTGGGACATCTGAGTATAAGGTGAGTTTGTCAAATTCGTTAAACTCAGCAATGACATCTTTGACTCTGTTCAATTCGTGATCTTCGTCTAAAAGTCTCGTGACTTTCGTGCCTAGAGAACGTGTCGAATTATTCGAATTTTCAAAAAATTGTTTTTCTTCTTTTTTTTTCTCACGTTGAATCTAACTCGATAGCCACATACACCGTCAACTCAATCACTTGTCATATGATCGATTTGATCTAACAAGTTCTCAAATGGTGTTGGTCATAAAGCTGACTTCATTCTCCTTCAACATTTATGATGGACGAAGGCCGAGTCACGTCGGTATTCCGTTTACAATTATTCTTTATCAATTCAGTCTTGTCGTGATGTACAACGCTCATACCCATTTTTCTTACGCGATTCTCAGGAATTGACCTCAGACCAAAAATACAAGTCCATCCCAGCTATGCCTCCGATTCTTGAATTCCTTGGATATGTTTACTTTTTCGGTGGTGTTTTGATCGGTCCGGCATTCGAATTCATGGAATATCGACGATTTGTCAACATGGAAATATTTCGAGTCGACAAGATCGATGCTAATAACCCAAGAGGACAGATTCACAAAGAAGATAAAAAACCTGTTCAAGAAGGAGATGACGAAAAATTTTCAAAGCCCCCTAAGTATCATATTCCTGACAGTTCCTCTCCTGCCATGGCCAAATTGTTGTCCGGATTGTTTTGGATCTTGTGCCTGATCTCATTTGGCAATAAATATTCGTATGATTGGACTCTGAGCGAAGAGTATAGATCGATCTCATTTTTCAATCGGTAACTTTCTTACATTTCTTTCAAGAACCGCCCTACTTTCATTCCTCTTCGAACTAAAAACAATCCATTGGCAGGTTATGGTTTATACAAATGGCATCTTTGTGTGCTCGGTTTAAATATTATATTGTTTGGCCGCTCGCGGAAGGCGCATGCATTCTTTCTGGACTTGGTTTTAATGGTTATGATGAAAAAGGAGAGGCCAAATGGTAGTAGTACGTAGTCTATTTAATAACCGTAACCATTTGCTTAACCGATTCCTACCTTTATGCGATCTTTAAAGGGACCGCGTGACAAACATTGACATTACCGCGTACGAAAAAGCCGATAATATCAAATCTCTGTTAGAGGCCTGGAATAAGAACACGAATAAATGGTTAAAAAATTATGTGTACCTTAGGTTAACACCTCCAGGAAAGAAGCCAACTTTCTTTTCGACTCTTGCTACTTTTGGAACCAGTGCCGTGTGGCATGGATTCTATCCCGGCTATTACTGTAAGTAATCCTTATTTCCTCCGAGTTGCCAAAAACACATTGCGGTTAAACATTTTTCTTTTCTTTGACCGAATAGTGACATTTGTATCCGGAGCTTTTATTCAGGGTCTTCATCGAAGTAAGTTGCAAATTTTGAAACTACATTGGTCATGTGACACGTGGTTTGTTTGACCTTATGCCTTCTTTTTTCTTTCTTTTTCCACAGCGATCCGCCGTCAAGTTCGTCCAATTTTCTTAACACCTTCGTTTGCCCGCTTCAAACCTCTATATAATTTCCTAGGTTGGCTTTGCACGCAATCCATTATAAACTATTTGGTTATCTCATTCAACTTGCTCTCATTGAGAAGCTCACTTTTTGTTTGGAAGTCATTGTACTTCTGCGGACACTTGGCCATTCTTTTCGCGTATGTTGCCTTTTGGTTTGGCGCGGGAAGAATTTGTAAGAAGGTCGTTTTGATGGGTGGGGGAGTTCCCGACGGAAGGAAAGAAGATGACATCGTAAAGATAAAGAAAGAAGGTTATAAAATATGGGAGGAGAAACGAAAGGATCTTGTTGAAAAGAAATTCGTTGTCCCCGAGACTGGAGTTCCGGTGATCGATGGATAATATTTGAACGATTCCTTTTCCTGTGGACCTTGATGGTTCTTTAGATAGATGTACAATTGCTAAATATCCGAACATTGACTTTTAATCAATAATCAGGGTATACTTTATGAATGAACATAGATTTTTTAATCGATTGCTTTTTTTTTTTTTTTTTTTTTTTTTTTGAAATAAAAAAAAAAAGTCTTGATAATTTATTTGATAAACTTAACAGTTAAATCGAAATATATAATTACAGTATGTTGTAAAAATTTATATATCGTATATAGAGAACCCCCTAAATAATATTAAATGCACTTTCTATTTTCTTCTTTTTTTTTTTTTTGTAACACCTGTAGCCAGGTTAGATTGTAGTTTATTAATCAATTGAAAACATAAGTACATTTTCATTTGAACAGTATGATATATACAACAGTTAGACCTGTGAATCAATAGCACAGTAGTAGCACTTCCAGGTTACCAAGTACTGTTTTCAAGTTGCAAGGCAGTACCACCTAAGCCTAGGTAATACAGGAAGATTCTATCCATTCCATGATGATGATCACTACCATCTCTTGTCAAGATCCTATCCAATCATGAAATATTCAAAGATCACAAGATGCTTTAGTCAGTTTTGGTGCTGAAGTCACTTTCTTACAAAACAGATTCCAGCAAGCTCCTACAAATAGGTTGAAGATTTGCATACTGAAAAAAATTCAATGTATTAATGGTACCTAGACATGTTAATTAGAAGAGAATCTCTATTAATTTGATATCTGTTCAAGACTTCACGTGATCATCCTATAGGTAGGCTGTAATAGGTCATGTAAAAAGAATACTCTGATGGAATAAAATGATATTCAAGACTTCATATAAATATTTCATAGATATGCTATAATAAATAATATAAAAAGAATATTTGACAATATAAAATATAAAAAGAGTTTCAAGTTTGAATTAGTTACTAAGCAAGTTAAATAATAAGGGTCTGAATATAGATAGATGAGTAATAAAACCTTTTTCAGTAATATACTATATGGATCACAATTGTGAAAAATAAGTTTGCTATAACTATTAACTAATATATAGTGATAGTTGGATTAAAAGTTATAGGATTAATGTAATATAGATTTTACAAATCTATAATCTTCAGTTGTATATCACAAATTTGATTAATTCTATAAAAAAAATATATATATATATACTGTATATATATGCAGTATAGTCAAAAATAATTGAACAAGATTTTTTATCTATAATTTAATGAATAATTATCTAAATTATATAAAAATTTAAATATATATTCTTTAATACCT